TCTCCAATGGCCTCTGGCTGCCGAGATCGCACGTTGGAGTTCCGATCTCTCTCTCAAACTCTGAAGAAGATCGAGAGACCTCATCACCTGATCAAGCTGAAGATGTTCCTTCTACATCGAAACAATACACTCCTGTGTCCTATTCTAGATCTGAATTCAACAGAAGCCTCTCGAATTGGGTTGGGTATTCATGAAGCCTCCCAGAAGATTTCGAGGCTTGCTCAATGTAAGCCTACCTCTTTCATTACTTTCGTATTAATCTTTTTGCCTTTATGGAGGAGAGCTTTCGTCGCCGCGCTTCCCGAAAATTTGTCGACTTTACCTTTGGCGGCATACCGCATCCCACTAGCTGGATACGTAAATGAAAGGGAAAAGAACTATGAATTGGGAAGTGATTTGATTGTGTTGCGTTGCATATCTTAGAGGGCTATTTTAGAGATCTTTGTTTAAATAATTTAATGGTTTGCATATAGGGTATTCAGAAGTTACTGACTCGAGTTTTCTTTTAATGTGCTCGTGAGCTTACAGTGGCAAAGAAGTCTCGATGTTTAATGATCCCACTGTGGAAATACAAGAATTGACGGCCTTGATTAAGAATGACATCACGGCATTGAATTCAGCTCTTTCAGATTTACAAACTATTCAAAACATGGAAATAGCTGATGGAAATTATTCGGAGGATAGAATTGTTCATTCAACAGCTGTCTGTGATGACTTAAAGGGCAAACTTATGGGGGCAACTAAGCAGCTTCACGATGTGTTAACTAGCAGGACAGAGGTTAGCGAGGACTAATTTTTCATATTTATGGCATCCCTTTTTTCCACCAGAATTTTGTTAACACTGTGCGTATACTTCCTACAGAATATCAAGGCTCATGAGAATAGGAAGCAAATATTTTCCAAGAAAGCGTCTAGAGGCAATCCTTTCCAGCATCGATCAGAGCCAGTGACTGAGCCACCCCCTTGGTCAAATTCATTAAATGCATCTGAAAGTTCGCAGCAAATATCAGCGTGAGCAATGTTTCTGTAGTCATAGGTTAACAAGTGTTATACCTTGACATGAATATATTTTCTCCTTCTCAGCTTTCATCATGTAAATTTAGGTTGTCTGGCACAAACAAATATCTACCCGCTCCACTAGTTACTGTCTTCTATTCTTCTATAAAGGCATGGTAATAATCCCATGTAGTCATGGTTTCTCAAACTCATGTTTTTTTTAATATTGAGGGAGGAAAAACAAAACTCTTGTACATGAGTATGTATGCAAATCTTGGCTGCGGGGAACTTCTTTATCATGGATCGGTCGATCTTACCATATGTATATGAGCATGTAGCCATGTTACCAAGACAATTTTTTTCTTGTTAGGTCTTTTGGCAATATTCCTATTTCAGCCAAATTATCCAGACTATTATCGTAATGCGATTGCTTTTTTTTAAATGCCTGATTGTCAGAACTGAACAGGTTTTGAATGCCCAAAATGTAATACTGAAGCTCGACTTACCTTTTTTAAATTAGATAATTAGTAATCACTGTGGTAATCATCTAACAAAAACAGGACATTTATATTTGATGCCATTTTCTTGTTGATCTCATATTGTCTTGCTGTTAAATTTGTACAAATCTGAAACCGGCTAAGTTAGAATTTTTTTTTCTTTATGTTCAAATTGATTGGGCTCTGGGAGTTTAATTTTGCTGAATGATTTGTATTTATCTATCTCTTTCAAACAGATCCCTTTCAAATGAAATCACACCGAGCAATCAATTAAGGTATGCTCTGATTACTTTGAGCGAAGACTAAGTTGCCCCTTTTACTGTTCTATATAACATGGACTTTCTTTACTGTATTGTTTTGGCATACTTCTGTGGTCGTCATGTTTGGTTTGCTTTCAGCATTTCCCACATAGGCTGTTAAAATTCTAAGATTGTAAACCGTATGCTTTTATTTCTTATATGCATCATTTATTCACTTGAACCCAGAGCAGTGTGTATTTATTTTAGGGTAAAAAATATTGATGTTCCGAACTTGCTTTTGTCATCACCTTCTTTTTTAAAAGCTAAATGTGAACTGGATAGCTGTTAAATTGATTTGCTGGAAAAGACTTGCAGGAATTAATGTTTGCTGGCATACCTAGTAGACTTCGCCATCCGAATGGTTTTATGATTTTTGTGCAATAAGCTTGAGTCTTGGGTTTTCTCCAAAACTCTCTTGTAATATCACAGTATTGATTTTTTCCCCCTATCTAGCTTGAGGTTCCTAATCTTTATAACTTTGGTAATGCAAAGTCATTGAATGAAATGATTTAATGGACAATTCAAAATTACGTGAAATAGAAAGCATAGCCCTTCTCTTACTTATAGACATAGCCTTAGTTGGCAACTTGTGCTAATTTTGCTGATACAGACGGAGGCTAGCTGCTGACAACGCTCCATCCCAGCAAATGGAAATGTCTATGATGCAGCAAGTGGTCCCAAGACAAGAAAGTTATAGTCAGAGTCGTGCAACTGCTCTGCACAGTGTGGAATCTACCATCACAGAACTGAGTGGGATTTTCACTCATTTGGCCACAATGGTTGCTCATCAAGGGGAACTAGCTATCAGGTTTGACTTCATAATTTTGATACTTGTACTGATGCATTCCTCCAAGCTGTTCGCATGCTCAACAATCTCTATCAAATCTGTCAAACTTGAATCGGCAGGATTGATGACAACATGGATGAGTCATTGGCAAATGTTGAAGGAGCTCACAGTTCTTTATTGAAGCATCTCAGCCAAATATCATCGAATAGGTGGCTTCTGATCAAGATATTTGCCGTTCTGATACTATTTCTGCTGATCTTCATATTCTTCGTGGCCTGAATTAACTCACGCTTGCCCAATCACACAAGCATGTTGGTGGCTCATTTGGATTTATTTGTTTTCCTCCATCCATCGAGGCAAAAATGTTAAGGCGTGTGCATGCAACAGGTGTTCTTTATTTTTTACAAGTCAACAGACAGGGCTTCACTGGTCTGTAAAGTTTTACATTCTCAGATTATGTTGTTTGGCGTGATGATACATATGCCGAAACTCTCAGTCGAATGCATATTATGCAAGCTACGTAAACATTGTATGGGTGCTAGGTGTGCTAAATTGATATTATTGTGAATAGAACTGATAATATGGATCAACTTGCAATCCATAGAGTAGTCCGTAGTGGGTTGTGAGCTTGATAGGGTAAGTTGATATAATCCACATCTTATATAGGTTGTATTTCTGCCAACCTATTCATTAGATTATTTTTAAAAGTTACTTAAAATAGTTTTTTAAAATAATTAGAAATGTGTTTTTTTTTAATTTTGATTATTTTCAAAAATTTAAACAAGTATCATAAAAACTCAGGAGAGATATTTTGTACAAAAAAAGTAAGTGATTTTTTTTATAAAATAAACTAAAATAAGCGGGCCCTACATATACTTCTCAAATTATAACAAGACAAGATTCATGTACTTAGTATTATATGTTTAATATATTTATATTCAAACAAATCATGATAAGTGAATTTTAACATGTTAATAAAATGAATAAGAATAATTTATTATAAAATAAATAATCTATAAAAGATCTGCATGATTTGATTTAATTGAAAAAAGTACATTAAGTATATAATGTTTATTATATAAGTTTAGAAAAAATTATGTATGGGTCTCTTGGAAAAGACTTATTTACAAATAAGTCTCGCAAAATTTAAAAATTAAAGTTAAGTCTCTTGAGATTCGAGTGTAATTTGAAATTGGAGTACAAAAATATAATTCCCTTATAAAAAAAAACATTACATTAACCAATTAATTTACAACTACTTTATTATTAATTTGGAACTATCACTTTATTTTTTACAACTATAACCTCACATATTCAACAGTTAAACTTATCATACATTACAAATTTAGTACTAATTGTATACAACTATTTTATCAGTAATATTCAACTATCATTTCGATATTTTATAATTGTAACTTTATATATTTAATATATTTAAATTGATTGTGCGTTACTAATAATTTAATATTAATTATTTACAACTATTTTATCACCAATTTATAATTAGCATTTTAATTGTTTACAACTGTAATTTCACATAATCGATAATTAAATTGATCATATATTACAAGTAAGGACAATATTATTTGTACTCTAATTTCAAATTGCATCAAGGTTCTAAGAGACATGGCTATGATTTTAAAATTTTATAAAACTTATTTATAAATAAATCTGCTCTACGGGACTTGTACATAATTTTTTCTATAAGTCTTTTCCTCTATAACATATGACATTTTTAAAAAAGCATTGCCTCCATTAAAATATAGAGCATTGTATGGGTTTTATATTTTTGCTTAGCGATACCTTACTTTATTATGTTATACTCAGGTAATTGATGGATATGTTTTAAACAAGGCAAATGTTATTATACTTATTCGGTGCAAGAATACGATGAGATAAAGACATAATTTTTCTTTTTTCAGAAAATCAATATTTTAACAGCCTTTTCTCAAAAATATAAATTAATTAACAGTCACTTATATTGAAGTCCATAGTGAACACAATAAAAAGACAACAGATGACAATTTAGACACTGTAATCCTTGTATAACCACTCTCTGGGTGCATAAGTTTTACATGTGCTTTGACATGAGCTGAATGTTACTCTGCACCTTTTTTGTGATCTTATATTTTTTTTAAAAAAATGTACTCTCTACATTGAGAATAAAGCATTCTTAGCTGCATCATTATCCACGTAAATCAGTTAATTATTTTTAAACCAATAATATCTTTTTATTTTTATTCTTATTTAATAAGATATCTCACTTAAAGATAATAAAGAGTTAGTGTTTATTTATTGAGGGTGTTTTAAAAAAATCATTAATTGCATATTAAAAAAAACTAAAAATCTCTTATATTATTTAACACATAACATCTAAAGAGGGCAGAATAGCTATTTTAAAATATGAATCTAACTAAGAAAATGGTGAACAAATAATATAATCTAATCTAAACTCAACCATATTGCCATTAGTGAATCGTGACACATTCAGCTTTATTGCACTCCTTCTGGATGTTATTGCATAAAGCATACTCTTTTTTTTTTCACCCAAAAAAAAAAAACAAACAAAAAGGCGAAGTTTTGGTGTCTCCATCGGTTGAAAAGTCGGTCCTCTCTTCCCCGCCGAGGAACACTCAATCTATGTCAAGAGTAAACCCCCGCGTAGACCAATGAATGCCAGAATATTCAGTGTTCTTTATTTTATCGTCATAGAGCATATAGAGCATATAAGTAGTAATATATTCATCCAAAAAAACTAACCTTTGTACAATATTATATATATTTTAAAAAATTTCAAAGATATTTGGAAACTGGTCCGATGTCTGGAAATGTTAAGAGTAGCATACCCTTTGTACAACACGGTCTCTCCTCTTGCATCTAGATTCTATGGAATTGAAATTTATGAATTTGTGTGAAGTTTTTTATGTTTTATTTTAATATTTTTATAAAATATAGATTATTCTCTCTCCCTCCCTGTGTGTGTGTTTTTAAAAAAGATACATTTTCTAAAATCCACAGATTTTCAATTACGGATAATATATATATTTTTATGATTATACTCAACACCGATTAACAGCTGGACAGAATGGCAAGTGATGCGCTGACACATTAGATATTGCTTGTCCATGCTGGCGGCTGACTGGGCGATGGAATCGCAATAATTTCTCATCAAACTCATCTCAAATGCTTTCATCCTCCAAAACAAATTTATATTTTCTCTTTAATTACGTAACAAACGTCCACTCCTCATCCTTTTCGCTTATTTACTGGTAGCACTTTTCACCTTTTTCACGGCAATGCCATAAGCAGTGACGTGCGCGCTTATTTACTAGCACCCCCATTTTTAATTTCAAACTTAATTATCACACTTCATTTTAACAATCACGTGTATGCATATTCATATAATAATTTCACTGCATGTCCGTTACACCGAGGAAAATAAAGCAAGGGGAGACGTTCGCGTAGTTGTGAAGACAAAATTTCTCTTCATTAGTTATAATTGAAGGACCTGCCGCTACCACCCCTCATTTCTTATTCTGTAAATAAATTGAAATAAATAACTGTATTTAGTGGTCATCACTCATCAGTTAATTTTTCCGCCATTATTGGAAAAAGAAGAAGCATATGCACTGACCTTTTTAAAATACAAGCGATCAGTTCATCGACGCGTCGCATGTGACACGAAGAAAAGTGTACATATATATGTTCTATACATTATTTGATAAGTTGGTGTGTGTGTGTGTGTGTGTATTATATACGTGATGAAAGAAAGTCGTGGAATTTTCTTCACTATGTGTGGAAGTTTTGTGAGAGAAATCAAAGGGTGGCTTTTCTTTGTATCAAATCTTGGTGTTTGTGTTTGTCCTCTCTTCATTTGGTTCTCTTCATTTCATTTCCGGACTAATTAAGTGAACTCACCGTTGCGGCGTCGGGCTGCATAGTGTTCGCCTGTTCGGGATGCTTTCTCGAGTTTTTTTTTTTCTAAGCTCTGTTTCTTAACTAATTAACAATATGATCTTTCCATCTAAACAAAAAACGGAATTAACAATTTATTTTAGAGGAGTAGGATGGTATGGTATATAACTATATACGCGCCTGCCAGAAGTAAAGGTTGCATGCATAATGAAAGAGGTTAGGTGTATGACATTTGGTGGAACACACACACACACACTCTGCTGGAAAGGAAATAATGAACAATCCTTCCTCTCATTCCATCGTTAACAACATTATTTTCCACGAACGAACTGTACGCTTAAAATATGTGGAATGCCTGAGCATTGTTCCGTATATCATGACCAGGTCTCTCTGTCAGGTCCCATAGATTCCTCAAAAAGAATAAAATAAATTAAAAGAGTATTTCTGTGTCGTTTTCTTCACGCCGTCTCCGGTATTTATCCATATTATTTGCTGAAAACGAGAGCAATTGGCATGCCAAATGGAGAACAAAAACGACGACCACCAATAAGGGCATCATCACATGCTCGCTAGATTGAACGACAGAGTTTTGGAAGTCGATCCAAATAGAGGAAGCGGAAGACAAATTCAGGGCAGCATCTATCAGACTGTTACAAATAGTCGAAGTAACGGGGGCCTACATAAACAGTTAAACACATTTCATTCCATCTGGCCCCTGAAGGCTGAAAAGGAAGAAGAGAGAGATTGAAAGGGACAAAGTGCTGCGTGTGATCACATGGTTACAATCCCGCATGATTAGCACTGCCTATCCTCTCCCGAGGGCTTCTCTTTTTTACGATGGAAGATCGAGCTCAAATCCTGAATACATAAAATACGCATGCTCGCCTAGCATAATGCGTCACATCAATTGAAGAACCCTCGGTGGGAATAAGGTGTTGTACACTAGGGACCCGCGTCACAGACCAAACAAAGACGAACAAGAGGATGTGGTGGAGGTTTTTACAGGGAATAGCCACATCCCAGGGATTTTTTTTTTTTATGTAAATAAAAAAAGAATAATTAAAAAGTAAGAAAGTAAGAAGTTGGCGTTTAACTGTTTAAGAAAGAAAATGCAGGTAATGGGGGGCGCTGGACCTGGAACGAGCAGAGTGTGGGGAAGAGTGGAGGCTTTCACAAGAGGCGTGCGGGAAAACTTGCCGGTTCCAAATCCATTTGTGATAAGCGGAGTCAGGTCAAAATCTCTGACTCTCATGGTTCTCGTCGTCCTCTCCATCCCCCTGCCCTGCAATTGCCCGCCCCCATGGGATTCTCCAAGGAACACCCCTCCAGACGCCTCTCGAGGGCTCTCAAGACTCTCTTCTTCTTGATCGCCATGCTCCTCTCTCTTCTCTTCTCCGCTCCCCTCCTCCTCGTCATTGCCGACGCCCTTCTCCCTTCCGTTCTCCTCTCCGCCATCTCCCCTTCTCCTCTCTCCCTCCAAACTCTCTCTTCCCATTTCTATCGCTACGACTTTCGACGATCTCTCCTGGACATACCCCTCGTCTCCATTATAAGATCTTTCCTCATCTTCTGTCAGTGTTTATTCTTAACTCTTTTTTCGTTTTTATTGTTTTCGAGTGAGTTTATACACACTTTTGTTCGGAAAGTAATACTCTGCGTCCTGCTGTAGGCGTGTATCTCTTGTGTGATGGGCCGAGACTTTCGCGGGCGCCTTATCTGGGTGCGACGATGGCGTGCTCTGTTCTGTCAGTCATGTTTGTATCGCTGAAAGCTGTTTACGTGTTCGGCTTATCGGGTGGAAGGAATGGAAGAGCCTTGGAAATAGCTCTGTTCGCGTGTTCCTATGCTCTGGCCGTGGGGCATATCGTGGTTGCTTATCGAACCAGTTGCAGGGAAAGGCGGAAGCTTCTGGTCTACAAAATTGACATCGAATCGGTGAGTGTCTCCATCTCTTTTGCCTCCCATTCCCAACAGAAATTGCATGTGTGTATCGATCAAATTTGAAAATTACAGAGAGTAGTTCATTCCTGCTGTTTCCCTTGTGCTGTGCTTGTGCGGTGGGGACGGGGAAGTGAAGTGAATAAGGCAGGCCCCACGAAAGTAGCCTTGAAAGACTAGGAAACTTGCCGTCTGGGGGCATTCATACGGATGAACTCGGTCCTCTTCTGGAAGGTCAATGTGGGGGTTGGGGATGGCGATGGCAATGTTGATTGTGGGCTACTACCAAATTCACCTTGAATGCTTCAACGCTCAATCATGATTGGCCTTGACCATTTTTTTCTTATTAATATGCTGACTTTTCAAGACACCCACGCAGACGGATCAGATGAACCAGAATGGGGCAGCTGAAAAATTGAAATGACATTTCTGTGTTAATTTGGACATCTCAGATTTTATTTAAGTTTATTTTTTCAGGTTAAATTTGATCTTTGAAAAAATAGCAGCCAGGATTTATTTTTATTTTGATTTTGAAGATGACGATGGAATTCAAATCACACTGGGTGTTGGGTAGTAGGTCAAATCTTTTATTGTTCCAAACAGTCAAATCTTGCAATTTTCAAATGATAAATTACGACGTGATCAACACTGAAGGGAGACGTGCCCCCTGACTCACGGAATTGTGATCTCCTGAGCTCAGAGAATTGGCATAAATGGGTGGATTAGTTGCCGCCCTCGTATAATTTACGATTTACGATTTACAAATATTCATGGTGTGCCATGTGCAGCTAGGTCGGCTTCTTCTGAGATTACAATCTATTTTTATTTTCTAACTTTAAGCTGGTACCGTTCACCGTGCGCCATTGGAAGCAATCTAAGAAATTCCCCTGCCTTGTAAATGCGGTAATCGCATGTTTATCAATATAAAACATCCAAATTTTCATAATCAGTTTAAACAAGGAGGTGGGGAATTTAAAAAAAAGAAAAGAAAAGAAAAGAAAATAATCGCGTGTTGTATTACTATTTGGGCGCAGATTTCAGCCTGCAAGGACGGGTATCCGAGGCATCCCAAGTTTCTGCGGGAGGAACGAGTGACACGAAGCAGCTAACAGACAGAAGCACGGATCGGATGAACTGTAGATGGTAGATGTAACATAGGAGTTTTCAAATTAGCATCTTCGTTAGGCTATTCACGCTTAACTGTCCACAGCCTTAAGGTATTTTCAGGTAATATTCATTCTAAGATTAGCCTGTATATATATATATATATACATATATATGTATATATATATTGCCTTGGTTAAAAATGGAGACAGTAGCTTTATATATGTATCTGCCAAACCGTGGCTTCGGAAGTTCAAACCTAAATGCGGCATAGTTTTTCCTTTTGGCACAGGTTCATCTGAAGGATGACAGAAACCTTGACCTTATTATAAGGGCAGAAACTAACATCACATGGCACCCATGACGCATAGTGCAGTGGTGTCTAGGCGCGCGCGCGCGCGCGCGCACACACACATATATGCCACGGCTCCACGCCTCATGGCCATGTTATATCTGACTTCCATTTAGTTTATTCTGTGATTTTTTTGTTTACAAGGTAATTTATAGTATATTTTCTGTGTTAATTTCCAAAAGGCCCGGTGAAGTTGAGAGGTTATGGATTGGCCATCCAGCTCAATATTTTATGGCTTCGATTGTTCAAATTTCTCCCAATATTTCTCCGTTTCTATTTTTATTTTGTGGACTAACTGGCATTGTTTTTAAAACCGGATCGGTGAACCGGTGACCCGGCCATGTGTCCGGTCCGATTTTCTTTTTATTTTGTTTTAAGTTAACCTGGGTGATCAGGATTAACCCGCTCAATCCCTCGGTTCAGGCGGGTTGGGCAGGTTGAAATTTAAAAAAAAATTGATAATGATTAACCAAAATGTATATTTATTTTTGACATAATAATGATTAATGATAGGTCAATAAGAGTCATAGGGTAAAAAAAAATATACTTATGTCAGATAAGGGGATGAAAGAAGCAAAAAGAAATCAAAAAATATAAATATATATTATATTATATTATTTTTTAATTTGAATTATTTAATTAAATAATTTTTAAAATATATCACTTTCATTTATTATCTTTTATTTTAAAATAAATTTTTATTTCTATTATTTTAACTCATTGAAATTTTTTTATCATTTAGTTAACCTTATTTTAAAAAAATATAGAAATGTTGTTATACTTTATTATTGTTAGAATTATTGTTATATGTTGTATGAGATATTAAGACTTGGATATGTATGAACGTATTGAGAATTAATATATTTTTTATTTAAATTATATTATTTTATTATGACCGGTCTGACTCCGGTTTGACCTCCGATTGAACCCATGACCCCTGACCCCTGAGTTTGACCGGTTCAATGACCGGTCCAGTTTTTAATACCTTGCTAACTGGAATAGCATACTCGTATTGTATCTGCATGTGACTGCTTCCATGAAACCGGCCCCCGTCTCCCTACTCTCAAAGCACGGAAAATTGTTTCGAGTAATTGGTATTCTAGTAGCTTTTAACAATAATTCATATACTAATTAAATTTTTACTTTCATAAAATAATATATTAATTTTTATTTTTACTTTAATTCAAATTTATGATTAGTGAAATAAAAATCATAAATTCACAGAGAAACTAGATTAATGAAAATAGTTATATTTTGGATAAAAGGGAATATTGCTTCACGTTATAATGGAATATATAAGCCCACAAATTCAAATTAAAAAAACAAAAAATAATATAAAAAATATATACCTGTCTATAAGAATTCTTTATTAGAGTATTCTATAACTAAATTATGTTATGTTATATTATAATCTTAAATTCTATCAGAATAATACATATTCCATAATCCTATAATTATACAATTATCACTCTCGTTTTCCCCCTAAAAACATTTTGAAATTTCATGCCACTCTTTTCTCACATCATCCAGCCATCTTTCAAAAATGGAAAAATAGCAAATAAGGACAACTAAAATATATTATTTACGGACAAGGATCAATAAATTTTGAATTAGCCTTGGAGGCCATGAGGACTACTGTGGAAATAAAATTAAAATTGAAACGACAAAAATAACCCTTACGAGTTTAAAGGAAGTACAGCTAATTCAAACTTATTTTCGTCAAATAATATATGCATAAGCGTGATTTTGTTAATTTCAATTTTAATCTCATTTCTACATTAGTTCTCATGACCTGCGGAGCTATTCAGAAAGAGAGCCGTTGAATCCCCATTCTCTGAATGGGCCAGAGACCCTCCTTTACAATGTGCCCACAATCCCGGAAAGTTGTTCCCTCCGGATCCAAATGAGAAAGCTAACTCCGAATAAAGGAGCTTCGCGTGGAGGGTCTGTTGGGGTAAGTGCAAATAGCTTTGATGCAAGACGCTGGATCACAAGTTTATTCTCTAAGGTTAATTGCCTATTTCACATGTTTTTACAATTACTCTCAAGCCCTTCGGACTCTCCGAATAATAAATCTAGCCCAGCAGCGAACTTCCTTGTTAAATTTTTCCTCGTTCGTTTCGTGCCATTATATCTGGCGTGTTATGGAATCAAGGGAGAGGAGCTAAGGAGTTGAAGAATGCGTTAATGCCATCGCAGAATAAAAACTAGGGAACTATCAATATGCCACTACTAGCAGTAGTAATGTTAATATAAATAACAATAACGCTAATGACGTAACATGAAACCGGTGATGAATACCTCATCTACAGCTCGAAACTCTCGTGTTCATTCACTCAGTGGCCTCATGTCTACGCTTCACTATGATTGGATAGCTCTTCCGCGTTCTAGTGGTTGGGAAAAACACCAGCTTATCTTCCTCAGCCACAATCCAACTGCAACAAATTCAATCCTTCAGTAAAATTTCATTGTTTATGGATTGGGTTTAAGGCTGGTATAGGCATAGATACCTGAATCGGGTGACGAAGAGGTGAAGGAAGACACAGACGACGACTCGAGCGAGCTCGAAGCCAGGACACATCCTCGGCCCCCCTCCAAATGGCGTATATACATTCCCCATGCTTCCTCCTCCTGCTTCCGAGTTGCTCTGTTTCACCATTTCATCCAAATTAACAAACCAAGGCAGCAGAGAGGATCTCAAGAGTGGTACGACATAGATGAGTTATAAACCTGCCATCTCCATGGATTGAAGGAGCGGGCGTCTTTGAAATGTTGCGCGTCCAGATGGACCGCACGGAATGATGCGAACAGTTTCCATCCTTTGGGAATTGTGTACCCTGTTTATTCGTTTCGAGTCATGATCTGTTATTAAAAATGTTACCCATGTTGAATGTTCTTATTTGGTCGTTACCTCTTATGTTTATGTCCGTCATTGCCCTCCTGAATATGCCACTAATTATGTTGCCCACCCTCAGAGTCTCGTGAACAACCTGTTCATCAGCAGGGCACAATCAGAATACCGCACTCAAAATCAACACATTCCTTTGTTTCTTGAAATCACTCCATGCTTTAATTGACACGTATATTTACACTTACGCATTGAGTAAATGCCATCGACTTATAATCACTCCACTCTAAAGCTGCTCCCGGGTCACTCTTCTTTGCCCTGATTTGGTCATGCTCTTCCTGCACAAATGCCGGTCTCATTCTCGTCAGGACCTAAAACTGAAGCAGTGTGTTCTCCGAGCGACGCTCTCGGTTCAGCCACGAGCAGTCCTCAATGAATCAAATTCTCAAACGACAATGCAATTACGAATCGATTAACCTCCAATTCAATCCGAATCAATGAAAATTAAGAGTAACCATAGACACAACTACTGGAATTCAATCACATAATGATCCCCAAAAGGGAGGAGTGTAATTTGTTTATCATATATGGAATAAACAAGCGTTGAAAGTCTAAATCAGCGGGCAAGCCGAACTTTGTTGTCGGACACTGCTTTTGATTAAAAGAGGAAAGAAACAGGGTAGGACGTGTTGCCGAAAAGGGAGACGGGGTTGGAGCTTGGAAAGTGCAAGGGCGGTTGCGTAGTCCAAAAAGGGTCCTAGGAATCAAAGAGGGGTACTGGGTTTTTCAACGCTAGTCTGCGTCGCCCTCTATACTCTACAGGGAGGCTATGGGCTATACAGTGACGTCATATACATCTCGATTTCAGCGCCTGACGATTTCTCAAGGGACATTGGAGTCCGCCGAAGGAACCCAACCGAATCGGTCCATTCCCAACCCAATCGTTCTGCAACACGCCGAGTCACTCGGAAAATGACTCTTACAGCCCCACATTCTGACTTCACTTTTATGTTGTTTACCTCCTTCCCAATTGTAGTTGTTTTGTCGTTTTTGACAGCAAGAGACAGCGAAGCGTGCGGTTCAGTTGTCTTGATTTTGTCCCTTGCTCCTGGGTCTCGGGCCCATGTTTCTCCCTCTTTGACTTTACGCTCTCTTCTTTTGACCGTCGTTTTCACCTGCCCATGCGGTAAGCTTCACCTCCAAGAACTTACCACTTGACAGTGACACCCGAGAACAAAAGACTTTAACCCTTTTGCTCTTCGGAGACAGGATCGATCGGATGTACAAGCCAATTCAGTCTTGACCTCGAAACTAAATGTCAATGATGACTAACAAAACCAAAAATCTCTCTGTTTTTTAAAAATAAAGTTTGAAACTCAACCATGACCATAATGGTAAAACAAAAAAAAAAAAAGGACCATGAGACTTTAAAACAAAAAGCGGAGTGCGTGATGAAATGGGATTTAGCTACTGTTGTAGTGGTAGCGGGTACATGTGATGAGACGAGATGGGAGAGGTCAACACATGATTGGAGATGTGAGGGAATTTTGAACATACAGCAGTGAAAAGTCTCGAGGACACACACACACAGTTACACACAGGCTTTTCACTGCATGTCTCTAGACATTCAACGTACCCACAAACCAACAAACACGCCACCACATCCATCCAATCTTTTTTGTGATGATTTGTTCTCCCTCTTGGCCCCGTCCCCTCCAAGAAAGATAGGGTATACAGTCTACTTCACTCTAGGCCGCATCAGGATTCCACTGCCCCGGCCAGCTCCTTGAGGACTCCCTCTCGCTTCTCTTTTAATTTAAGTTCATCACTCGTGTAGTCTCTCTTCTCTTAAAGTCTAGGTTTTTATTTTGGCATATTCTCCTTCACTGTAGTGCTTTTTTTTTTTTAACAAAAACGCAAAAAATAAATACTCAATCGTGGAGTATTTAGTAATGATTAATTTTTTTTCCCCTTAGCAATTACTAACCTTGAGCTGGGCCAGGGCAAGAGGGGTTTCCGTGAGGAACTTGACGGCGACGGTGATGATGGTGGAGGTGGTTTCGTAGCCGGCGATGAGCAGTGCCAGCATAAAGTCGACAATTTGGTCGTCAGAGAAGTGGTCGTCCGAGGCCAACAGTGCGCCCAACATGTCATTGATCATTCTCTGTCCTCTCTCGTTCTCTCTTCTCCTCTGCCTCACCACGGCTACCAGTGCCTCCGCCACCTTCGTCCTCGCCTTTATGGCTCTGCGGTATGTGGTTGAGAGGAGACGTGTGGGGAGCGTGAAGAATCCTTCTATCACCAGAACGTACTCTTTCCTCAGACTCTCGCTCCATTCACCTGGATCCAGGCTCATCAGCTGCTTCACTGTTAACTCAAA